GGCGCTGCAGATGGCCAGTGACGAGGGCCAGAGGATCTGTGCCTTGGGAGCATCTGGTGCGGGGAGAGGTCACCCAGAGACTCCAGGTCCTGAGTCAGCTGCGTGCCTTTCTGCCGTTTATTCAGTCAGTTCTCCAGGCTGCCTTTGCGCCAGTGCCACCCTGAACCCGGGCCTGCTCGGAAAGGCCGCTTGTATTGGGACCAGCAGGGTCATTCGGGTTTATGGGACCCTCTTCTCTCTCCTGCCCCACATAATTGTCAATCACGTCCTCATCGCCACTGTCCCAAGATGGCCCCTCCTGGGAATCTGAAGAGGGGAGTCCTTGCCCTGGCTCTGCTGCTGCCCACAGGGAGACCTCGGGCAGCAGGAGTCACCGTGGAGAGGTCAGGACGCGCTGGAGGACCGTGTGATTTCAAGCAAGTGACTTTGCCCCTCTGAGCCTCGATTTCCTCACCTGTGAAATGGGGAGAATAACTGCACGTACCTGGGAGGGGTTCTGAGAGATAAGAAAACACACAAAAATCTCAGCATTGTGGTACAATCGAGCACGCAGCCAAGTGCTGAGTAAATGCTAGTCGTGGTGTCTGGAGGCCTAGAGCCCGGATTTAAAGCCCAGCTCCACCTCCCAGAGCCGTGTGACCTTGAGAAAGTCATTTCTCCTCTCTGGGCCTCAGCGTCTTCACCTGATGTATCATCAGATACTATGAACAGTACCACCTTCACGGGCTGTTGAAAGAATTAAATGAACTCTTACATGGAAGGTGCTTAGCAAGATGCCTGGACACAATCAGTGCTCAATTTGTGGTCATCATTAACATTGACTTACTCAATTCTCCTCTCTCCGCCTCAGTTTCCTCATCTGTAAACTGGGGGCAATGAGCTCTGCAATGCCTTTCGGCTCTCATTGCTCTGTGACGATTCGCCTCTCCCGTTCACTCTGGCATTGTGTTCCTGGAGCCGTGTCCCCCTGGTCTGCCAGGACCAGCACACTCTGGAGGCCACCTGCCTCTCCCCCAGCCCCTCCCCCAGCAAGTCTACACAAACCAGAGGCACTGCTCAGTGGTCCTCTGCGCTTCACCTGTGCCCGAGCTATTTGAAAGTGCTCTGAAAAGGGTAAAACAGGATTCAACAACAATAGCTACATTTTTTTTGAGCTGCTGCCGTGTGCCAGGCCCATGAGCTTATTCCCTGAACCCTTGGAAGTTGGTATCATTATCCCCAGGTACAAAAGATGAGGACTGAGGCTCAGAGTGGGTAAAGGATTTACTCAAGGTGACTCAGCTAGGAAGTGCCAGAGCTGGAACTTGAACTCCAATAATAATAATAATAACAGCAAACAACTATAATAATAGCAGCTAACATTTGCCAGGGGATGTGCTAAGCCCTGTTAAATATTGGCTCACTAAACTCTCCCAATGACCCCATGGGGTAGGTATTCCCATTTTACGGATGAAGCAGCAAGTCCGAGAAAGAGAGAATGATTTGCCCAGTCATGAAGCTAGGAAGTGACAGAGGTGGTCTCGAACCCGGGTCTGCCTGAGGCCAAGGCCCGAGCCGTGCGTTTGATTGGTGTTCACACAGCCTTGCAAGCGTCACAGGTCATCCAGGTGCTCCTTCCCACCCTTCAAGGCTGGAGCCACACACACCCCACGATGAGGCTGCTGGAGCAGGCAGCTGTGAACCCCACTAGCTCCTGAAGAGGGGGCCGCTGGTTATTTCAGAACTGGGATTCTTACCTCTGGCTTCCACGGGCTTCCTCAAATTGTGTGCAAACTGTGAACACGCGTGTGTGCATCTACTCAGGGAGAGGGTGCATGTAGCCTTCATCAGAAGCTTCTGATTCTGTGGAGTGGGACAATACAAGGGACATCCTCAAATTTCCCGGGGGTCCCCTGCCTCTGCTTGGGTTCAAGCATCGTCTTCCCCGAGGGACTGACTCCCAGAGAAGAAAAGCAACAGGCCAAAGCAAATGAAAACTGTCCCCCTAGCCAGGCTGCCAAGGTGAAGTCAGCCCTCTCGACAAGCAAGATAGGGCCAGCCTGGGTCCCGCATCACCAGCGAGATTCCAGGGCCCAGGTGAAGGGGGAGATGAGCCACAAATCCTTCCAGGCACAGATTTATGTTGCATTCATGCGGAATTTATTATACAGAGAATTTTATTCAATTAAACTTGAAATGCGTCTGGATTCTTAAAGGTTCAGTAGTGATAACTGGGACAGAGTGATCATAAAACTGGACGGGCTGTCGGAGGCAGGTGTCGGGGAGAGGGCGAGGGTGACATTGCAGCTGACGTGAGATTCGGAACCGGGGACGTTTGTCATTGGGATGTGTTACAAGTTGGGGCTGTGGAAATTACTCGGTGAAAAATGCACATTAACAATAGCCATGAAACCTCAGTTAAGGGAAACTAGGTTGAGAAATGAGACAGCGGAATCTATTAATGTCTGACATTGTTCTCAGCGGCCCAGGTCGTAATGAAAATGACATCAGGTGGCAGTGGGGGGAGGCGAGGAGCACTGGGCCAGGGGTCACAAGGCCACGTCCTGGGCCCAATTCTTGCCACTGACTCCGAGACAAGTTGGTTCCCCTGAGCCTCAGTTTCCTCACCTGCCAAGAAGAGTCCACAGAGAGCGCCTGTCTCAGGGCTGCGGTGAGGTGTGACTGAGACAGTGTCTGTGGGGCCCCCGGCTCAGGGTCTGGCGCAGAGCAGCCCTTTCACGACGCTGGCTGGCGTTACCATTATGGAGGGGCGCTCTCCAATGGAACAGCCAACCCCCAGCCCATCTCTGGCAATGGTGCTAAATGCGTTCCCGAGACCTGGACCCAGACTAGGGCGAGGCAGGGAGGCACTTTCTTGGGTGCAAAATGTATGGGATTGCCAAAAAGCCCAGGAAGCAAGATAAATAATATTTTCATGCAATATTTTAAAAAATCAAAATTATGCAAAAAAATCTATGTCGGCAAGGTGTGAGTTTTAAATAAAGCAGCCTGCTGTTTGCTCCTGGACCCTGTGTCACCCTGCAGTGGGGACCATCATTTCCCAGGGTTGATGGTGGAGTGCAAACAAGCTGGGCGACATGTGCTCTATACAGTCACATGGTTTGATTGTGGTGCTTTCATTAACTTGTCCCACTGGGTTCAAGCTGTGGGAGGATATTCTGAGAAGTGTACACAGGGGTACGCGTTCTCCTCTGCCTCAGGCTCCAACATGGCTTCTGAAGGCCCTGCAGAAGAGCAAACATTTCAAACCACCCCATCCTCTGGGCCCCCAGAGCAGGCTTCTCCGTTCTTCCCAGGTTGGCGGCCCAGGAGACACCTCCAGAGCTGTCGAGTCTGCCCTGCCCCTGGGCCGGTCCAGGGGAACGTTTGCAGGTGAAAAGGAGGACGCAGAGGCCGGGCCTGGGAACCTAGGTTAGCACCGGGCCTGAGACAGCCCCCCCCAGCAGGATTTGGCAACAGGCAACCTCCTTGTTTCAAAGGTCACTTTAGGACGCTGTATTGACTCAAAGAGCTTCTCTCCGTCCATGTGGGATATGTTCTACCGTGGCGAGGAGTGTGGGACTGTTGTTTCATTATAAACGTCCTGCTCCTTCCTGAAGGTTTTGAGGAGTGGGCAGAATTGAGTGAATGAAGCAATTTGCTGCAAGCCCTTGGGACCGACTCCTCCCTGGCCCGGCCGGGCGCCTGCACCGCAGTTAACCACCTGTGCTGGTGCTTCTGCTGTTTCCAGTTCAGCCCTGGCGCTGACCACTGGGCCAGGCGGGGGAGGCGCTGGACGCGGCCACTTCCTGGTGGGTTTCCACTCTCACTCACGGTCAGTTGCATCTCAGCCACTGTGCCACCACCGCCTGCCAGGAAGGAAATGACCCAGGAGGGATGAAATGCACCTGTTCCTCCAGCAAAATTAGCAGGCGAGGTGGTAAGAATGACAGCAAAAATATGCAGGAACTGATCACTTGAATGTCGGCTGACTTGCCACAAGGACAGCCGGAGTGAGCGGCCTTCCCGCCCAGCTGGGGCCGCCGGCTAAGCAGGTCACTGACCGAGTGCTGAATCGAGTTCACCAGGCATCTCCGCCCTGACAGTTAGCAGCAGGCTGCCCTTCCGCAGTCATTTCCTGCAATTAGCAGCTGGAATCTTCAGGTTCTCAGGGCTGTCTCCTCGCCCTTCATCAATATCTCCCTTCCCAAGGACACAGCTGGCAGTGACAGTGTCGTTTCACAGCGGGAGGGAGCAGTGCTGACAAGTGAAATAAAATACAGCCGCGGCCCCCATCTCAGAGGCACAAACTAGCCAAGTGCAGCATCAGAGAAATAAGTCGGCCTGTGTCAGCCTCACCGGAAACTGGAGATCTTATTGTCTCCAGCAGAATACCCTCCACCTCAGACCCTTGACGCCACCCTCCTGGGCAGGACGTGGCCTCCTGGAAGCGGTGGTGGTCCTCTCACCAGGGTCTCCGGCCCTAGATGGGGGAAGACTCCCCTCCAAGAGAGGATTCTCCAGGCTGCACCCCGCCATGCACACTTTAATCTGAGTCCAGTGTTTCCGAGGCCTCGCCTGTCAATCTGCAGCCATCCTGCCCCCCACCACTTGGGCGGCGATGGGCGGCTCAGAGGTGCCAACACTTCCAAATCCTGTCTGCCTTCCCCTTTGTAAATGTGACATTTAAAGCCCCTTTGGCACAGGTAAATCACAATGACATTTCCAAGGGCCTCTGGTACCACTCCAAATCCTTGCGCAACCTGAGCCAGCAATGGAAGGGCACACGCACACGGCTCAAGCCTTTCTCACTTTTATTTTTTTTCCTGCGTGCCCCCTCATCGCAACAATCACTTCACCTTTCTCATCTGCAATGCTGAATTCCTCCCACTCCTCTAAGACCAGGGAGAGCCGGGCCGAATCCTGACGCAGCCACAGCTCCCTGAGGGAAGGGAGGGGTCTGAGAGGAAGCCAGTCTGCACAGAAGACCAGCTCCCAGCCCCTCCGGGGAGACCGGCGGCGACCAGAGCACCAAAGGGCAGCCTCTTCTCTTCACCGTGGTCACCACGGAGGGGTCTACAAACCCCCCTTTCCATTATTGCCAAGTGCCTCAGGCTTGGTCCACCGGGTCGTTTTTCTTGTATATTTTTTCTTGATTCCCCTCCTTCATGGCTGCGTATCTGGCTACCGTGAAGAGATAGTCGCTGAGTCTGGAGGAGCAGAGAGAAGCAAACGGAATGAGTTGAAAGGGGAGATCAATGCTAACTGGGTCCTTCCCACATTAGCCTTCAAGGAGGAAATATAAGTCACGCACGCCCAGTAGCACCAGGCGGGACAGCGGGTGCTCAGCTAACTTGGGCTCGATGGGTGGCTCTCGAGGCCAGCTTCTGTGAGAGCCACGCGCCCAACCTGGTGCCAGGGCTGGGGCGGCTCCTGCAGCACGAGGCCACTCTCCCCGCCTGACCTCACAGGGCTGGTGACTTTGGGCCACTCCCTGGGCTGGCTTCTGCACCTGCCATGCTGGAGCGTGCACACGGTCACTGGGGGATCAGGGGGAGGTGCAAATGCCGATTCAGGAGGGCTGGACGGCACCCCGGTGATGATGCACTGCAGGTCCGAGGACCCCACTCTGAGTAGAATCTCAACCTCGGCACTGCCGACATTCTGGATTATTCTTTGTGGTGGGGCAGAGGGGGCTTCTCTGTGCATTGTAGGACACTAAGCAGCACTCCTGGCCTCCACCCACTCGACGCCAACAGCACCCCCACCCAACTATGACAACAAAACATGTCTGCAGACAGTGCCAGAAGTCCGAGTTGAGAAGCTCTGGCCTGGAGTACTCTAGTGGCTAGACCACAGTCCCTCTCTCCCTTCTTTCTCTGACCCACCAGTGATGGGGCCTCTGCGCAGGGGTGCGGTGGCAAGAAATACAAGAGGAGGCACGAGCCTGCCCTTGAGGTGCTGCCGTGCGGTCAGGAAGCTGTCCACCTCTCGGCTGTCCCCCACCTGGCCTTGTTTCCATGCCCAGCACCGACCACCACCCGTCTCCATCTCTCCCTGCCCACTCCTACCCTCTGAGGCCAACTCCATGCCAGGTCCTGCTGGAAGCTTCCCCAGCCCATGCCGCCCCTGGGATCAGGTCCTCCTCCTCCTAATGCCTGGTGGCCCCCTGCTGTCCCTCTGGAGTAGGGGGCAGTGGAAGAGATTCTGCTCTGGGTGTCTCCTCCTCCTGGACCGTGTGCTCCTGCAGGGCAGTGACGCCTTCCTTGCTGAGGGAAGGCATTGACTGGGCCCCACAACGCAACAGGACTGTCAGGGCTCCCTGGGGTCGCTGCTCTGACGACCAATGGAGTGTTCCTCACTCCCCTCAGGCCCACTCCCCTCCCAGGAGGAATGGAGCCCAGGCCATGTCCCAGCGGGAAAGTATCCACAGTAAGGGACCAGACCAGACCCTGGCTGTGAGGTCACTTTCTGGACACCCCAGGACAGCTCCCAGGGGTCCCCCAGCTCTCGGCCTGCCCCTGGGCCTTGGCCTTGCCCACACTGGAACTGCATGAGCCAAGGCTGGACGGGAATCCGGTGGAGCAGGCCGTGGGCCAGCTGTGGGCCTGGCCGCGGAGGCTGACCAGCCCCGCCCACTGGGGCCTGCACTGATGGTCCAGAGCTGGCTCTGCCTGGCTGTCTCCTCGCAGTTCACACGGCCCCAGGGCCTGGCAGGGAGGGGACTGAGAGGGCCTGACTCCTACCTGGGCTCCCTGGTCAGTCACCACGATTCCTTACATGGCCTGCCCGGTTACCCAGCCTCAAGGCAGGCCCCCTGCTACTGCATGGCTGCGTTGTTCTCACGTTTTTCTTTGCTGGTTTCATAGCAGCCTCTCCCGGCAAGGTCCGCACCTCACTAGGGACAGGGACGGCACCCATCCCGTTCTCGGCTGTATCCTGTGCCTGCACAGTGTTGGCACCCAGCAGACCCTCAGTGAACACAAAGTGAACGAGCAAGTGAGGCCCGTTCCTTTGTTACTTCCCACAACCGCCTAGTTTCCAGAGGAGAGAGACTCCAAATTCCATCCACCTACCTGTTTAAGAACTTGGCCACGTTTGCATCCGTCTCGCCCATCTGGACAAGAGGCACCACGCTGCAGGGGGAGGAAACACAGCATCACACTGCACCACAGGGTCAGCACACCGTGGGGCCCGGCCGCGTCCCAAGCCAGCACTCCGCAGCCCGCTCAGCCTGACGGGTGCTCTTGCGGTCCGTGTGCAGACATTCTAGACAGGGGACTGCTGTCTGCCAAGCACCATGCACGGCCCTCCGTGCACGTCACCTCTGCTGCATAGCCCTTGCTGGGAGACGGGTGTGCGTCCACCACCCAAGGGCTTTGCACCCGGTGGTGTCCCACCGGCACGTCTCCATCTCCTCATCTGGTGTCCTGAGGACCCATCCTCTGCATGGCCATTCCCACTGCTGGGCCTGTGGGCTGTCTCTGAGCCTTGCTGATGTGGATGGCTTTGTACAAATGACTACTTTTTCCTGGAAAGCCGAAGCTCTTCCAGGATCCCTTTAGGAACCACTGGGGCCCAAGAGCCTTTCATGAGGATGAATCCGTTAGGAGGGGGGCGGTGGGCGGAGCTCAGGTTTGGACCAGGAAGACCTGGTCCTCATATCTCAACTCTGCCATGGACCACTTGGGTGGCCCTGGCCACGATGTCACCTCTCTGAGCCCCCGTTTCCTGACTCCTGTAAAGTGGGGGCTGCCACCACCTCTCTCCCAAGGTTATCGTGAGGAATCAATGAAACAATGAACATGAAGTGCCTGGCACTCTCCTGCCTGTTGCATCAAAGCAGGGCGTTATTTCCATTTCTCTGTAAAGCTGGGTGACACCCTGGTCTATGGGCGGTGTACGTGGAGATTTCCCAATTACTCTTTTCAAGTTTCCTCAAAAAGGCCGCCAGTAGCTTTTGGGGGTCCCTCCTCTCCCTGACTCTGACTTGTGGGGGTTGGGGCAGCGGTGATTGGTCTGCTGACAGCTTCCACCTGAGCCGCCCACAGCCATGTGGGTCCCTCCGGGTCCCTCCATGTCACCCATGGCCTAAAACCCACCAATGGCCTCCTGCTGCTCCCAGGATAAAGGCAGACAGACCCCTCGGCTCAGCCTCTGGCCTCGGGCCCCACGCCCCCTCACGCCAGATCCAGACACCTGGGCTCCTTTCTGTCCCTTCAATGCAGACTGCTGCCTCTGCCCTTGCTGTCCCCTTGCCCTGGACACTATATCCCAGCCCCTCTTGTGCCCCGTCCACCAACTCTTGGCTCACACAGCGTGACTGGGAGAGACCATCCCGGTGCCCACTCCCAGGCTGGGGCACGCGGGCTGAGCACAGCCCCTCACAGCCCTTGTCCCGTGACAGCCCGGCCCATCTACATTACCCGCCAGGAGTGGGGAGCTGGGCCTGGGGAGGGAGGATTTTCACTGAACCCCCTTTTGAAGGTCATGCCATGTGAGTGTTATAATTACAAGTAACCCGCCAAGCCCACCAGGGCCTCCCCCACCCTGTCCCCTGGTAACTGCTTGTTTCTCCACCAGCTCTGATCTGGATGTGCAGTTACACCACCTGTCATCTGTCTGGTCGTGGTCACTGTCCCCCCTCCACAACGTAGGCTCTGAGGACAGGGCCCCGGTCTGGCCTGGAGTGCGCCTGGCACGGTGAAGGTGCCGAGAGGCCTGCGGACGAGGGGCTGGGTGGCACGCAGCCGACCCGCTGGCCTGCCCTGCTCCGACCAGGCTCCCTCTCCCTCTCGGGCCCCTTACCGTCTCTCCGCTCGGCGGCACACGGCCCGACAGAGATGCAGCGCCGAGCTGCTCTTGCCTCCCGACTGGAAGGAGAAAGCAGAAAGCGGGCGTTGGCGGAGCAGTGGGGTGGGCGGCGTGCCCAGTGCAGACAGGGAGCGCCTCGGACGGCTGGATCCGCAGGCCCCGCCCCCAACGGGCAGTGTTCTGCCTCCAGGGGCCCTACCGAGGCACACCCACTGGGCATCCCCCTCCACAGTAGGCAGGGCTGGGGAGGGACCAGCGAGGGTCTGGAGGGGCCTGGGGGACAGCTTCTGTCACTGTTAAAAATTAAGGAGGGGGACTTATTCAACGCCCGTGTGTTTTTGTCAGGACACTCGGCCTGCAGCCACCCCCAGGTGGAGGCGGCCCAGTACCTACAGGCAGAATGAAAGCCGTGAGAGGGGGGAGCTGGCTGGAGTACTTGTCGATCCACTGCTCCAGCTCCAGGACGGGCCCCGCCCCGAATGCAGCGTGTTCTGCGGAGTCAAGGAGCAGAAGGACACTGCCATGAGGCCCATCGCCCGCCAGATCCCCAGGGCAACCGCCCCCACGTCCTCCTGCCCAGTGCCCGCAAACGGCTCACTGGCCTGGGAGGTGGCTTCCCTCTCAGGGTCTACAGGCCAGGCCAACAGGGGTCCCAGGTGACACCCAGGAGAGAGTTCCCCGCTTGGGCCCAGGCCCCCTCAGGGCCCTCTGAGCACACACAGCGGGTTCAGAGAGAGAATTACTTAAGTGAGCCTCCCGGGCCGAGGAGTGCGGTGTCGCCAGGGCAGAGCCAATGTCCTGCAGCGAGCACTGGACCTGGGGAAGCGAGAGAAGGCACGAATGAAGGTCTGTTCATGGCGGGCCACGCGGGGATGACGTGATTCCAGGGGCATAGGTGGACCCGACATGCCCACGAGGCGTGCGGGGGCTGGCCGGTTGGGGACTGTCAGAAGCTTTCATTAGCTGGCATTTAAAGGCTAATCAGCAAACTGTCTGAACCTTCAGCACAGCGGCCCTGTTGAGAGGGGCTCTGGCTCCTTTGGGGACATCTGGGTTACGCAGGCGATGGGCATCAAGCGCCCAGCGATGGTCAGGAGGAATCTTCTTGCCCCGATCCTCGTCTCCCACGCGCCTGGGCCCTGTGAGGTTTCTTCTTTTCTCTAAACTGTAACAGCTGGGCCGAGAGAGCAAACGTGACCGTGCTTTCTACACTATAAAGGACAAGGAGCCGTGAGAACACGGTCAGCTGAGGCGTGTGGAGTGGTCGGGGCAGGAAGCACGGCTGGGTGAGGCCTGTGCTCTACGTGAGGGGTGGGAGGGAGCGGGCTGGCTTGGAACAGAGGTGCCTGTGAAGCTCTGCTGAAAGGACTCCAGGCCCGTGTGGCAAATGACCAACGGGCTCCCCTGCCAATGAGACCCACCAACACTGCCCGACTGTGCCCAGCTAGGGTCCACTGGAGCTGGATGGCAGGCTCGGAGCGGGTGGAGGTCTGTGAGCTCTGGTAAGATGGCCACTGTGACCGTGCCAGGAGGAGGACACGGCAGGGGAGAGCAGAGGCTGCCCGCCCAGCAGTGGACTCGACCCCTCCCTGGGCCCCCAACCGGCAGAACTTGGGCGAGCTCCTTGAGCGCGTGGTGTCTCTGTGGCCTGGTGGAAGGGGAGTGACAATACTACCCCACTGGCTGGCCAGCCGCAGCAGTTACCCCCAGGGCTGCAGCGAGTTGGCCCAGTCTGAGAATCGGATCCCAGCTCTGCTGATTCCTGGCTGTGGGGTATCGGGCAGGCGGCCCTGTCTGAGCCTCAGTCTTGCCCCCTCTAAAACGTGGACGTTAACCTCACCTCCTGGGCTTCTGCGAGGATCAAGTGGGGTGACGCGAGGAGAGCCGTGAACGGGTGGCCTGGCTCTCCTCCCCAGGCCCGGGGCGCAGCCCTGGGGCCAGGCTGGGCGCCCAAGTGTACAAGCCACAGTCTGTGCCCTCAGGGTGTCCAGCCTGAGGACACCGAGGTTTAACACCTGTGTGATGCCTGTTGCCAGAGGCAGAAGCGCAGCTGTGGAAACCTGGAGAGGCACCTAACTCAGCGAGAGGCGGGGTGGCCGGGAAGGCCCTGGAGGAGGTGATGTTGAAGCTGGACCCAGGACGGGGCCTAAAGCACAGGGCTCATCACATCACTGCCCCTTTGCCCTCTCAAACCCCGCTCAGAGACAGGCACACAAATGACCACTGTGGGCGTGAACGGTTCCTCATGACGAGGCTGGAAACCATCCTCCATCACACAGGAGGTGCCTCGTTCACAGAATGTTCCAGCAGGTGAGGCCTTCCACCCTCTGCAGCCCCCTCACTGCCCTCCGTCTGCTCCCAGAGCCTGACTGGAGCAGCTTCTAAAGACTCAGGTCACCATGGAGACGGAAACCCTGGACCCGCCCTGCGTGTTCTGCGGGGGAGTCCCTGTCGCCATTTCTGAAGTCCTCTCTGTGGGTCCGAGCACCCACTGCTTCTTGAGGAACAGAGCAGTAACACTAATAACCATCAGCCCCCCGGCTGAGGGCTTACTGCAGCTGGCCTTCTGGGGTTTCCCAACCACAGGGCTACCGACAGCTGGGGCCAGGTCATTCTCCGTTTGGGGGCTGTCCTGTGCGTTGTAGGACATGTAGCAGCATCCCTGGCCTCTACCCACTAGGTCCCAGTGGCACCCCCACCCCCAGCTGTGACAACCAGAAAACATCCCCATACATCCCCTGTATCGCTGGGTTAAGACCACCGCTTTCTCCATTTCCCCCGTAGTGTAATCCTCACCACTCGCCTGTGAGGGAGGATCAGCTCTGAATGTCCCCACATTACAGATGGAGAAACTGAGGCTCTCAGAGGAAGCGTGACTAGCTCCAGGTGACACAGAAAGGAAGTAACGATCGGATGGCAAATCCAGTTACGGCCACCAGGCCTCGGGGATGAAAAATCCCAATTTGGGGTGAGCCAATGTTACTCACTTTCTGAAGCTCTTCAGCAAATGGGTGCCCTTTTTCCGCAATTAATTCTATAGCAAACCTATGAGGAAAAAGAAAAGAATGTGCCTCTAATGTAACATCCCCAGGCCACGGAGTTATAACAGCCATGGTGTTATTTTTCTTGCTGACAATAAGAATGTCATGACCTTCCATTTGGGTAAGGCTACTTGTTTCTCAAAATGCCTTTTCCTGTAATCATTGCTCATCCAGTCAACAATTCCTTTTCCAGTGCCTACTCTGGCCAGGTCCAGGCAATTCAGTCGTGAGCAGAAGCAACACAGGCTCTGTTCATAAGGAGAGGGAGACGTGAATCGGATGTCACATGACTGAAGATGCAGTTTCAATCTGAGGTCAGTGCTCTGAAGGAAGGGTGAGAGTCCTGGGAAACTTGGCCTCGGCTACGGTTCAGGGAGGGCTTCCTGGAGGAAGTGATGCTGGAGGTGGGACTTTGAAGGCTGAGTAGGAGTTCTCAGGTAAGGTGGCAGGGAAGTGAAGTCAGGGTCCTAGCAGGGAAGAGACGGTAGTGCATTTGAAGGGTTCCCGGGGAAAGCTTCGAGAAGGGACTATTCACAGAGGTGTGGGAAGAGTTATGGGAACTGACAGTGGATGGCAAAGACTAGCAAAAGCAGGAGCCTCAAGGGGCAAGGGAGGCTCAGGGTGCTACCAACCCTGGAGAGAGCTGGGTTCTCAGTGGGGGCCACTGCCAGCCGGGAGAGAGTAGGTGCAAAGTCCAGCTACCAGCAGAGCCACACTCAGTTGGGGATGGGTAATAAACACTCCCACGCCTCTCTGCACCACTGTGCCATCTCCTGCTGGTGCCTCCCACTGGCTGGACCCACCCGAAAGCCAGAGGACAAGGGAATGGGGTGAAACGGTCAGCAGGTGACAAAGGGCACAGAGGCAAAGAGAAGGGTGCAGAGTGGCTTTGAAAGGGCAAATGAAGAACCACCAGTGCATCTTCCCAGGCCATCTTACAACCAGAACGAAATAAACGAACATGTAATTCATTGTCTAGTGTTGGTCTTCCCCGCTGGACTGCAAGGAAGGACCACGCAGGCCAGGACACAGTCTCTCTTCATCACAGCACTATGCCTCGTGCCTGGCACATAGTAGGTGTTCAAATGTCTGCTCACTGAGGATGTTCCCATGATGGAGGCGAGTTGTAGGCCCCTCCTCGTGCTTGCTCCATCCCAGCTCCCACCCCTTATAGGTGCCCCTTTAGTGTCCATCTGCTCTCCTGACTCCCTAGACTGTGGGCTCCACGAAGGCAGGGCCGAGGCTCTCTGCTTAGCAGCGCCTGGCACACAGAGATGCTGGATCACTATCCGACAATGGAAGAATCCACAATCGAGGTTTCCCCAATCTCCTGCCCCAGGTCAAGTGAGATGATGGCTCGCTGACTTGCTCATTCTACATGGCTGATGCTAGAACTCACTTACCCTTCCCTCTGCCCACTTCATCTTGTGTCTGCCTTCCCCACTCCACAACCTGAAACACGGAATTATCTCATTCAATCCTCACAAGAACCCAATGAGGTGGATACTATCACTATGATCATTTGACAGAACAGGAAACTGAGGCTCAGAGAGGCCAGGTGATTTGCCTGAAGTCACATGGCCAGTCAGCAGCAGTAGAGAATTTGAACCCAGGTCTGCTGATTCCCATGACCTTCACCCACAGGGCCATGTCAGAGCTCGTGAACCAGCACTTGAGATAACTGCCACTCACAGTCAATGTCAACAGCCGGCTGAGCATGATGGACTGTGCCATTGTTCTCAAATATTTGCTGCCCCTTCCACCCCACTGCTGTCAGGCGTGTCCACGTGACTGGCTCTGACCAATGAAATGTGAGCAGACATGATGTGTCACTTCCATGGAAGCTTTCAGAGCCAGTGGGAGCTTTACCGTGATCTCATCTCTCTCTGCCACAATTACTGGTATTGTTCCAGACAGAGGCTGTCCTGCCAGCCTGAGTCACGCAATGATTTCATGTGGAGCAGAGACACATTCAACCCACAAGGGCTTGAAGAAAGAGCAGGAAAGACACGTTTGGTATTGTAAGCCATGAGGTTTGGGGTTGGCACAGCCTGGCTGATCCTGACTGAGTCACCTTCTAAACTACAGTGGATTCCCTGAGTCCATCTTTTAAGCTCTGGCTGTGTCAATGCTTATTTTAAAAACAAGACTCACAAAGGGGATCGCATCTGATGCACTGTGTTCTGTGCTCAACTCACCTCTTTCACTTAATCTGTGCACCTCCATGGCACACACATACTTACCTCAAGAGCAAGGGAGCCGGGGCTGGAGGGGCCTGGCAGCTTCACATGGCTGCTCCACGTGCCAGAGCAGGAGCAGAGGGAAAGGCATCCACAGCCCGGCAGCCTTGCGGTGCCGACCAGATGCCCTGTGCTTCCGGGTTCATCACAAGGTGGCAGCCTCGGGGACCAGCCAGCAGTGCCCGGAGAGTGGCATGAATCACATTCCAAATGCCCAATTCAAACTCAGCCTCAAGGCCCATCCCGACTTCCTTACCCAATGGCGGAACTTAATTCATCTGTAGTTCCCACGGCTTCAAACACTTGGTCATCTTTGGGTCTCCTTTCTCCAGTGAAGGTGCTTGAAAACCCTGTGAAGAAATGTTTAGCCACCCAAATTAAGATTTTTTTCCAGATATGCTCTTTTTAAAAAACTTTCCACTTGCAGTATAACATATACACAGAAAAGTGCTCAAATTGTAAGTGGACAAGTTGATGAATTGCTACTAACTGCATATAGCTCTATGATCCGAACCCAGATCCAGACATAGAAAATGACCAGCACCCCAGAAGCCCCCGTGTACTCCCTTTCAGTGGCTGCCCCCCAAGGGTAACCACTATCCTCACTTCTTTCCTGAGATGCTTTTATTGTAAACTTAAAAATCATGTACTAACCACCCTGCTCAAGAAATAAAACATATAGGTACTTGTTATGTATATATTACAATTATATTTCACATGAAATCAAAGTCCTCTGCCTAGGCCACATTTCCCACCTTTCTCCCCCAACCACCAAGAAAGAGAAGACCTGCTTTCACAGCCAGGACTAGCCTGGCACTAGCAGCCAGGCTCTGGTGTTCTCCTACTGAACACAAACGATTTCACAGAACGCCATCAGACGGGCCACGCTCTGACTGTGACGGACCCAGACCAGAAGAAGACCACCCTGTCATCACGTCTGAGCAGAGAACGCTGTCCAAATTATAAGAACGACCACACATCCCCCTTCCTGGCTAACGTGAGTGACTGCTACTGCTTTATCGACTATAGCTTGAGCCCCTGTTTGTCCCTCCCGCCTTCTAGATGAAAATGATTAAGATACCCAGAATCAGCCCTGCCTCCTGACAGCATCCGATCCAGAGCAAAGCCCCACTTCCGCGAACTCTCCCAGATCACCTAACACAAGCCCAATCCTATAAAGTCCTTTCCTGCACCCTCTTCCTAAGCTGCCCCACAGTCCCATGGTGTGCCCTCTCCCCAGCTGTCAGGAGCCAACTGACCCAGCTTTACTTGACTAGATTGTCCCTGGAGGACATCAACACTCCCTTCTGTTTGTCAACCCTCTGCATATTTTCTTTTCTTTTTTTAGCGTAGTAACATAATATATACATAACATAAAATTTACCATTTCAACCACTTTTCAGTGTACAGTTCAGTGGCATGAATGTTTTTATACTTTCACTATGTAAGTTGATACCCAGAAAACAATATATACTAGTGATCTGCATGGTTTTAAACTTTAGAAAATATATCACAATGAGATATTCTTCTGCATCTTACTTTTTCTGTACAACATTACGTTCTGGTATTGGTTAAATGATCAAAGCCATATATGCTCATTACGAAAAATAACAGAATAGAAGTATGTACAGCAAACAATGAAAGCCCTCTGTTCACTCCCCTCTCCCACAGCTCAATCTCTCTCCCAGGTAATAGTCCAAGATGTCACCTTTCAGACTATTCTATGCATATCTGAACACACACACACAGACACACACACACACACACACACACACACACACACTTTTATCCAAACAGATTCCAATTATTTGGATTGTTCTAAAACTTGCTTTTATCATTTACTATATCTTGAGCATCTTTCATTTCACATCACATTTTGGTGATGTACATTTGTCACATACGTTTTAATGGCTGCAAAGAATTTGGAGGAACATTAAAATGAAGTTGGCCATGTCTTTCTTTGCATTTTTCATCTGTCCCCACCCTACCTTTGTCTCCTGTTTTGGTGTAAATCTTGGGGAGGTTGGGTGTCTTCGAGGAAGGCTGTGGCCTAATGAGAAAGAGACATCAAGAGGTGGTGAGTGGGGATAGCTCACACATGGGGGCCCCTCCTTCAGTGGTCCCGGCTTGCTGCTCGTAGCCTCATGGGCGACACTTACCCCCCTCTGCTTGGATCTCTGTTGACATCTCCTCCATCCCTCTCAGTTTTAAGCCCTTTGTGGGCTCCCAAGCTGTGCCTTGCCCACATCCGTATCTGCACAGTAGCTAATGCAGTGCACTGCTCAATAACTATGTGCTGAAAGAATTTATCGGTCACTTTCCACAGTCCCTACACTGTGTGCATTACTGGCATTATCTCCCAGAATTATCCCTAGACTCTTCCCACAGCCCCAAAGGTAGGCACTACATAGGATGTTCATTTTACTGCTGAAGAAACTGTAGCTCACAGGATGGGACTCATCTCCCTAGGTCACCCAGGGAGGAAGTGGTAGGGCTGGGATTCATGCCCAAGACCATCTTACTTCAGGCCCCAAATTCTTAGCTCTACCCTACCCAAACTCTTTACCCTCTACTCCACCAAGTCAGGCCTCTTTGAGGGAAAGAAACCTGGCCCTCTTCCTTTCTTGGAGGCTCCAAATATACTCAGAAATAAAAAATTGCCAAAACAGCATTCAAAACCTGGCATTTTCAAATAGCAACATAACACCTTTAATACAGACCTCAAAATTAAAATGTGACTCTGTGGACAGCTAATTTTTGACAGGGGAGCCAAGAACATATAACGGAGAAAGGAAAGTCTCTTCAGTAAATGGTGCTGGGAAAAACGGGACAGCCACATGCAAAAGAATGAAAGTAGAACTTTATCTTACACCACACACAAAAATTAACTCAAAATGGATTAAAAACTTGAATACAAGATCTGAAACCATAAAACTCCTAGAAGAAAACATAGGCAGTACACTCTTCAACCTCAGTCTTACCAGTATCTTTTCTTTTTTGTTTTTGGTGAGGAAGATTGGCCCTGAGCTAACATCTGTGCCCATTTTCCTCTATTTTGTATGTGGGACACCGCCACAGCATGGCTTGATGAGCAGTGTATCTGTTTGCACCCGGGATTTGAACCTGCAAACCCCGGGCTGCCAAAGCAGAGCACACGAACTTAACCACTAAGCTACTGGCTGGCCCAGCAGTATCTTTTTGAAACCACGTCCACTCAGGCAAGGGAAACAAAAGAAAAAATAAATGGGACTACATCAGACTAAAAAGCTTCTGCACAGCAAAGGAAACCATCAACAAAACGAAAAGACAACCCAATAAATGGGAGGAGATACTTGCAAATCATATAGCCAATAAGGGGTTAATATCCAAAATATATAAAGAACTCATACAACTCAACAACAAAAAAACAAACAACCTGAACAAAAAATGGGCAGAGGATCTCAACATTTTTCCGAAGAAGATATACAGATGGCCAACAGGCACACAAGAAGATGTTCAACATCACTAATTACTAGGGAAATGCACATCAACGACAATGAGATGTAACCTCTCGCCCGCCAGAATGGCTATTGTTAACAAGACAAGAAATAACAAGTGTTGGAGAGGATGTGGAGAGAAGGGAACCCCGTACACTACTGGCTGGAATGCAAACTGGTGCAGCCACAATGGAAAACAGCATGGAGATTTCTCAACAAATTAAAAATGGAACTACCATATGATAAAGCTATTCCACTTCTGGGTATTTATCCAGAGAATATGAAAACACAAATTTGAAAAGATATATGCACCCCTATGTTCATTGCAGCATTATTCACAATAGCCAAGACTTGGAAGCAACCTAACTGCCCGTCAGTGGATGAATGGATACAGAAGATGTGGAGTATATACACAATGGACTACTACTCAGCTATAAAAAAAAAAAAAAAGGAAATCTTGCCATTTGTGATAACATGTATGGAACGTGAGGGCATTATGCTAAGCGAAGTCAGTCAGAGAAAGCCAAATACCATATGATTTCACTCATATGTGGAAGATAAAAACAACAAACATACACACAGACACAGAGAATAGACGGGTGGTTACCAGAGGAGAAGGGATGAGGGGGGGAGGGTAAAAGGGCACATGTGTACAGTGACAGATGGCAACTAGACCTTGGGTGGTAAACACGATGTAGCCTACACAGAAGTCAAAATGTAACGATGTACACCTGAAATTCACATAATGTTATAAACCAATGTGACCTCAATTAAAAAGCTAATTAAAAGAAAAAAAATTAAAATGTGACATTACAAAGTTATTCAAAGGTTAAATTATTGGATCTATGAAGTATATTAATCCATGGTACTCCACAGGTTCTGAGGTCCGGGAATGGGGTGCAAGTTTCAAGGAACGTGATGACAGCCATCTTTAGATCGCGTGGGTGTATCTCTGTGTCTTAGGGTATACACTGCTTTGGAGATAGGTCAAAATCTGAATTGAGGCACCTCTGATGGTGAGGCCAGGCGAGATGGCCCTCCTGGCCCACACGGAACATGCCCTGCCCTGATGGATGACAGCTGGGCCTCATTCGACTTGTCTTGTGCCAAGAAATCTTGGTTTCTGGCTTCCACGGTGCCCACGTTGCCATGGTGACGTCACGACTAAGACAGGACGTCACCTGGAGGTTGCTGCAGTGACCTCACAGCGGTGTGACGTAACCATGGCGACGACGCCACAATTCACGGCAGGCGTCGGAGTTACCCTCCCAGCCAGGCACTCACCTGTCCCCGTCATCCACGCCCTGGGGGCCGCGGCTCTGGAAACGGGGACGTAGTCCGCTGGCCCCGAGACACCCGCGCAGGCCCAGGCGGCCTCCCAGGCCCCACACAGCCATGCGCCAGGCCGCGGGTCGGGGGCTGACCCCACCAGGCTCCCGTCCAGGTCGCGGGGTGACTCCACCTCCCGCCGGCCGCGCCACCGCTCAGCCGCCATTTTCCATTGGCCCGTGGCTCTCGCACCAGGGCGGGACACTCCCAGGGACTCGTTTCCCATTGGTTCACTGAAGGGGCTGGGCGGGGACACCCGTGACGACTTGGTTAGCAACACCTATTGGCCAATGCTCAAGCCAATTGGTAAAGAGACTCCCGGGTCGCGCGCTCTGATTGGCTGGGCGGAAGGCAGAGGCCCACTCCCCCCGTGGCTCGGGCGCTCGGGGATGGAGTCCCGGAGCGGCTCGGGCTCGGGGCGGAGGGGCAGCGGCGGCAGGTGAGGCCAGGGGCGCGGGGCCGGGGGGGCGAGGTCCGAGGCCGAGACCCAGGATGACCCCGGAGCGGGCTCCCGGCTTTTCTGCCTCAGTTTCCCTAACTCTGAGAATCCGTCCTGAGGGTTCGGGGACTTGGAATCTGACAGACATGACTGAGTTTCGGACAAGCAGTGGGTTTCCCTTCTAAGAAACGGGGATCGCGACAGTACTTAGTTCATAGTGCAGTTCAGGTCTTATTACTGTGTTGAGGTAAGGCACGTACAGCCTTAAATGGATGGTAATTTTGCGGTATTTATAAAAATCTAAAATTCGCACACCCGTAGACCCAGCAAGTCCCTTTCTGGGACTCTGTCTTGTAGAGATCCTCGCTTAAGTGTGCAAAAAGAGATGCGACAGCTGTTTTCTGCAGCCTGTTTATAATTGTGACACTTTGGAAACAGCCTAAATGACCAGGAAAGAGTTCTTTCTGGTCCATGATTTTGTTTAAATGTCTACCTTTAATAGTAAAAGCTGGAACGAAGAGCAGAGCCAGTAATAAGTAGCTATCAGTAATGAAGTGATTACCATGTACCAGGCACTGCTAAATGTTTCCCTTGCATTAATTTAACCTTCCCAAAACCCGTTGAGGTAAGTACAGTTATCATCCCCGTATAACATGAGGAAACTGAGGTTCAGAGCATTTAAGTGAGTTAGCTAAGATGACATCCCTGGAGAGCAGAAGAGCTGGGGTTTGAACCCGGATCTTTCTGACGCGTCTAGTTGACTGCTGCCCCGCACTGCCTTTGTGGGACGTAGCAAGTCCTGAATGGTGCTGCCTTTTTTGTTATAATGCTGAGCTTGAACTAGGCATGCCCGAAGATCTCTACCATCTGGGGACCTTCCATCCTCTCTCTGGCTTTCCCTTTCAGGATTCCCAGGAGCCATGTTGTCAGAAATCCTGCTGGTGTCTGCTCCAGGGAAAGTCATCCTGCATGGAGAGCATGCGGTGGTCCATGGCAAGGTAAAAGGCCCCCAGAGCCTTTGAGGATTGGCACCACTTCTCCCTGACACTAATCATGAAAGAGGCTGGAAGGAAGCCTTGAGGCACAGTCTGGAAGTAGATCAGAGAGGAGGTCAGTTTCTCCCCAGCCAGGCAGAGAAAAGACAGGTCTTACGCCCACTGAAGGCTTCTCTGGCCCACTCAGGGAGATAGCAAATGATGATGGGTAAAGCCCTGCCAGTGGAAGGGGATCACCTAGGAAGTGAGCTTCGGTGGAAAAGAAAAGAGGTTCAAGGACTGGGCTCTGAACACTCCAACGTTTAGAAGTCAGGAAGGTGAGTAGGATCCAGCAAAGGAGTCTGAAGCATGCATTATCTCATTTAACTCTTACAGTGGCCCTCTGAGGTTGAGCTTTAATTATCCTGTTTTACAGATGTGGGTGCTCTGGCTTAGGAGAGGATTGGTAACTTGACTAAGGGCCCATACAGCCAGGTAGAGCTAGGAGTGAACCTAAGTCTGTCTGAACCATTTAACCCAAAGCTCCTGCTTTTTCCGCTCCTCCACTTTGTCGTTCTTTGTGTTCTTAACTTATATTTACCTTTGAAAAGATGGTCATTATGGGGAAGCCGTTCCTGGTGTGAGAACCACTGAAGTTTTGCATGGGGCAGGCAAACATAAGAGATGTTAACTTCTCATTGGTGGTGGTGGCTGTGCCCAGGCGTAGTGGGCGAACATGCCAAGGTTGGTCAGCAGTGTCTGCCAAGGGCGTGGGTGGGAGTGGCCTTTGTGCTAGTATTTGCTTTCTTCTCAACACATTCACATTGCCCCCTTTTTCCCAAGACAGGAGCTATGCTCCTTGCCACCCACCCTCAGGCTAATTGCTTTTGGCCTTTATTCTGCAGGTAGCACTGGCTGTGGCCTTGAACTTGAGAACGTTCCTCCGGCTTCAACCCCACAGCAATGGGAAAGTGGGCCTCAACTTGCCAAACATTGGCATCAAGCGGGCCTGGGATATGGCCAGGCTTCAGCTGCTGGACACGAGCTTTCTGGGTAAGTGCAGGGAGGAGGAACCAGATGTAGGAAGAGCCGGGACCCTGAAGAGAGGGGGAAGGAGGGTGGCTGAGTAGTCATTCCAGGCTGTCCTGGAGAGAGCCAGAGGTCAGCCACTCTGAGGGTGTTTTCTCTCCTGTGCCCATAAAATTAGCTTCACTTGTTTATTAATTTTTCTAAATTTAAAAGCATAAAGTGATGCACTAGATCTATGTGAGCTGTTGTGGACAGATCATCAGAGCCTGCCATTGAGTGAAAAAACAAGGTGCAAAACAGCACATATAGGATGATGAGGAGTGACCCAGACTAAGCATCAGTATGTATGTAAATGCAGAGAAAAAGGCTGGGAAGGTATACATCCACCTGACACGGGTGATTCATTACCTTGGGAGGGTCCTGCGGTTAGGGAGTGGACACAGGGAGCCTAACCTTCTGTGATGTTGTTTTCACAGGAGAACGTGTTAGCGTTTTATAGAATTAAAAATCATTAAAAGTAAAAGTAACTCATGCTTATTATTGGAAAATACAATTAATACTGGAACAACGTGAGTAAAAAACAATCACCTATTATCACCACCTCCCATCTCACGCACCGTGACAACTCTTAAGCATTTTGATGTTAATCCTTCTGGATTATTTTCTGTAGATGGATTGTTAGATTGATGTAGGAGATATCTTGGTGGTTTTTTTTAACTAAAATTAGATCAGGTTATATAAACTCTTCAGAAATGTGTGGTTCTTTTTTTTTTTCTTCAGTACATCAGGACGGTCTTCCCATGCCAATAAACGAAGGCCCCCATGCTAATTTTTGATAGTGTGAGGAATGTCCTGTCGGCTCATAAGCAGGCAGGGTTTCCATCAGCAGAGTCACCACCTGCCAGAGCTGGAGTGTTTGCTCAGTTTGCTGTCTCCTCCCGGGGCTGCTGCCTTATCCTTTGGAATAGTGTTTCTCAGCCAGAGGGGTACCTCCTCCGGGGTGTTTTCCATTCATGCTCCCTGTCGCTCATGAGAATCAGTCCACAGCAAGCCACTCCCGCATACGGTCGGGAGCTGGAGTGAGAGTTGAAAACCACCGTTTTAGAGCAACCACTTTCAACCTCAGTCATGCCCTGAGAGCCCCTGGGGAGGTTTTTTTGCTGGTGGTGGTGGTGGTTGTCAACAATACAGTTGGATTCTTGGCCCTGCCTGTCTCCTACTGAGTATTGGTGCTGGTGGTAGGGGACCAGGCATGTGTATTTTGAAAGGAGACACCCTCGATTAAGAGCCACTGCTTTGGAGCATGCGTCTGACAACAGCTATCCAGAGCGACCTGGACCTTGCTTTCCGTGGTGCACAGGGCTACCCAGCCAGGCTGGAAAAGTTCCTTGAGAACTGGCTGCTGCTTCTGTATGTCAGTAGCACGGATGGAAGCAGCCAGGTGTGACGGGACGTGTCTCAAATCACCTCTGACTCCTTGTTGAGCCTGGGCAGGTCACTTAACCCTCAGAGCCTCCATGAGCAGAGTCATGTTGCCTGGGAGGCTTGCTGTGAGGATACAGCAGGATCAGAGGTGGGCACAGAGCTGTGATGCAGAGGGCAATCCATACGTGAGGGCTTGTTTGTCTGCTTCTCCAAGGAAACAAGGGAATCCGAGCCTTTTGGAGATGTTTTCTCCTAGGTTGCAAGGATCTGCCATCCTTTTGTTCCCTCCTAATAATAATAAACACAGTGAACATTTGGGCGTTTATATGTGCCAGGCACTGAACCGCTGTGTTATGTATGTTAGCGCTCTTATAATTCTCCAGCCTTCTCTGGAAGTAGGTCATGTTATTCATCCCCATTTTATGGATGAGAAAATTGAGGTTCAGAGGCCAAGGGGCTCAGGTCACACAGCTTGTCAGTGATATAGAAAGGCTTCAGACCCAGATCTTTCTAAACCCCAATGCCCAGACTCTTCACGAACCATCATCTCCATCACAGAGCTCTGAAATGTCTGGGCTCCCAGTAGCACTGCCGTTGGCATAGCTGCCTTTAATGTATCATTAATTCAGTCAACACATAGTCCTCAATACGTGCCCCACCCTGAAGTTTCCTAACGCAGACACACCCAGCTCAATTTCACGTTCTAGAATGTGCCTCGGGACTCAGGGAGAGATTGGTAAAGGTGAGCTGGTCAGACTTGCTCTGCCTCCTCGGCCTCTAGAAGAAAGTGGCCAGCCTGCTCCGTGCCCTGAAAGAGAAACTGCTGCCTGGCCTCTTCGTCTTGCCCAAGCGAAGCACAACCTTTCACCTTCCCTGGTTTTATTTGAGTGTCTCATTCTTGCTAATTATGTTTTGGAAGGGGGAAATGTTTTGGGAATAACGTAATACCACCTTTGGTTTTGGTTTTGTACCATGGAGGTCACACCGATGCCTTTGAATGATTGAGCTGGCGTTCTCTTTGTGTGCGTGTGTGTTTTAAAACTACTGTTGACCAAGTGCTTACTGTGTGCCAGGAGCTGTGCTAAGGATTTTATGTTCCTCATTTAACTTCATCTTCATGACAACCCTCTGAGGAGGTACCGTTGTTATCCCTCAGTATCCGAGGAGGGAAACTGAGGTTCGGAGAGGCTAAGTCACCTGCTCAAGGCCACCAAGCCAGTAAATGGCGCAGTCAGGCCCCAGATAGGTCTGCCTGCTTCCGCAGCCTGAAGTCCCCTGGCAGACTCAGCCGTGGTGCTCAGACCGTGGATCCATGTCCATCCAGATCCGCATTGCCATCACTGCCCAGTTTGTTGTATTCTGCTGTCTGTAAAGGCCCCCGAAGCCCTCTTACCCACCCGTGTGTGCTTGTTTGCCTGTGTGGCAGAGCAAGGTGACGTCACAGCGCCCACCCCGGAGCAAGTGGGGAAGCTGAAGGAGGTGGCGGGCCTCCGCGAGGACTGTGCCGACGACCACGAGCGCCTGGCTGTGCTGGCCTTCCTTTACTTGTACCTGTCCATCTGCCGGAAGCAGAGGTGAGTGCGTGGTCTGGGGAGGGGGTCCTGGTTCAGCCTCCCCGGACAGTGGGCAAGGCGTCCTGTCGTTGTGGCTGCTAGAGAATGCACGTGCTCCCTTCCAGGCGGCTAATAACAGCAACCATCGGCCGTCTCACCCTGTGCCGGGCACCGTGCTAGACGCTTTATATGTGGTCTGCTTTTATGAGTCACAACAACCCGGTGAGAGAGGTACTCTCCTCGTTTTGCACAGGGGGAACCTGAGACTCAGAGAGATAAAGACACTTCAGGCCGTGCAGCTAGTTCGTAAGTGAGAGAGCTGGGAAGTCAACTCAGGTCACTTTAACACCTGTGCTTACATTCTTAACCCTCCCCTGCCGCCTCTGGCCTCTTCCCTTCAGTAGAACTGAAGCCAGATTCCATTCTTGGATCCACCGGGTGGCTCCTGTGCTGTGTCCATGGAGGCACCTTGTTTCGCATCCCATAGCTCCAGGGACACTCCGTGATTAGCAGAGTGAAGCCTGTGTCCACCTCACCCCTTAAGATGAGATCTGGGTTATCTGCCCTCAGGGAAGCCAGCTCCCAGAGGGTGACAGTACTGTTGAGGCGGTGTCGCATGGTGGGGGAGAGCATGGCCTGAGAGACCACGTGGGTTCAAACCCAAGGGCAGCCACTTACTAGCTTGCTTGAGGTTCTTACCCTTTCTGAGCCTCAGTTTCCTCACTTGTAAAATGGGGATAGTAATAGTAGTAGTACCAACTTCGTAGAGTTTTTGTGAGGTTGAATGAGTTCATTTATCTAAAGTGCTTGACACAGAGCCTGGCACATCATTTCATAAATATTAGCTATTATTATGCTATTATTATTATTTTCCTCAGGAAACTATTGGAGGATTAGAAATATATATATGAAATGGGCCTAGCCCTGTAACTGACACACAGCGATGCAGCTTGGAGGGGGCATGTCCCCTTCCAGAGGGGGAGGCACATTTCAGAATGTCCTGATTTGGGTGCATTGGGCATGTGTAGTTTCAAAAGGCAGATTCAGTAGTATTTTATATTTGGGAAACAGGAAGAGTGTTTACTGGAAATTACAGAACATGAAGTTTGACAGCCTTGCTTGGGAGAAATACTTGTCAGAGGCTGGGATTCTGAACTTTCCAGTGATCCAAAGCAGGCCTGTGTTACACGCGGTTGGGAATCCTGGCTGGTGGGAAAGACATCAGTGAACACACGGTCCGCATGCTGCGATGAGGCCGGGGTGGAGAAAGATTGTGTGCTGGCGGTCGTCGAACGGGAGCTGGGAATGGCCTCTGTGGGTGGTCAGGGGACGCTTCCCTGTAGGAACGACATTTGAGAAGGGTCTTGCAGGATGGGTGGGAATTTCCCTGGGGGATAAAGAGGTGCAGAGCTATCCCAGGCAGGGGGACCATGGGCTGTGAGCAGGGCCATGCGGTTGTGTGGGGAACAGGAAGGAGTTTAGAGAGATGGTTGGTGGTTCACGAGGCACTTACAGGGTGCCAAGCTCTTGGAGGCAGGCGCTGCCAGGGTCCAGTCCTGGGCCTCAGCCGCTGGTTCAGTGTTGGCCCCTCACCGCCCTTCAGGAGAGTCACGCTCTGCACCTGCTGTGTTTCAGGGCCCTTCCCAGCCTGGACATCACCGTGTGGTCGGAGCTGCCCCCCGGTGCTGGCTTGGGCTCCAGTGCCGCCTACTCCGTGTGTTTGGCAGCCGCCCTCCTGGCCGCGTGCAAGGAGATCCCAAACCCGCTGAAGGATGGCGAACCCACCAGCAGGTAATCACGGCCCTCACCCGGCTTGTCCTTCCCGTGCGCCACGGCCCGAGCTCAAGTTCTCCTGCCGACAGCTCACTGCCACGTGTGAGGTGAAAGCTGTCATGTGGCCATTTTACAGATGGGGAGGCTGAGGCACCGAGAGGACAAAAGCCTGGCCCAGGCTACGCAGCTGCTTATGGCAGAGTGGGATTTGAACACAGGCAGTCTGAAGCCAGAGCCTGAGCTCTTTGCCCCTGCCCTAAACTGCTTCCGTTTCCCCACCCCGACTTTGCCTCTTTGGGCTTCAAGTGCCTATGGTATGGTAGGATGAACCTGAGCCCAGATGTAGAGGGCAATGGGTTAGACGAGCCATTGGGCCCACCTCTGCCATCGACTCGCTGTGGGGCCCTGGCTGGCCCACTGCACCCCTGGGAGCCTCAGGGTCCTCCTCCGTAAGTGGCAATAGTAATACCAAGGGGGTATTGCCGGGTCGTACCAGACAGTTTTGAAAAAAAGTATAGCGTGCCAAGAAATGAGCACAGGAGGTGTCTATCAGATTAGGGCATCTCCCCGCCACGGGTCCTCGACCTCGTCCCCACAGAGGGAGCATCGCCTCTGCGGTTCTCCCTGTGAGGCGTGTCAGGGCAGGGATGCTGGCAGCCTGTCTGTGTCACTTGGAGAATGCGCCTTGAGAAACCACCCGAGCACAGAGGTGATGCACTTTGCCCTGGGCGTCCCCCCGGGAGTTATGGACGCCAGGATGAAGCTGGCAGCTTCTTGGTGAGGCCTTTCCCTGGGCCCACAGGACTTGGGGGAGCCCTCCCACTGGGGGCCTTTGGTACCAGCCCCGTGGAGCCCAGTTGTGCTGTGTCGGGTGGACCGCTGGCCTTGTCCATCTCCCAGTGTAGCCAGCGGAAGGGAAAGCTGCTCAGACAGTGCTGGACGCCAGCTGGATGTAGCCGTGTGTTTCCACCTGCGCAGAGCAGTGGCCCCGCGCCCTCCACCCCCACTGCAGGGGCACAGAGGGGAGCAAGACGCCGAGAACACAGTGCGCTGGCCTGCAGCTGAGGAACTCCATCCTCTTCCTGGGTTTGGTTTTGAATTGAGGTCTTCTTCCTCTGCCCTGAAAACGCTGTGGTTTTTCTGTTTTCCCAGACCCCACTGCGTGCCCTGTTAGAGTTCTGTCATGGCCCGTAATTCCTCTTCTGATACCTGGAGGTTAAAAGACAGTTGAATTCAGGGGCTGGCCCGGTGGCGCAAGTGGTAGGGTGCGCGCGCTCTGCTGCGGCGGCCCGGGGTTCGCCAGTTCAGATCCTAGGCGCGCACCGATGCACCGCTTGTCAAGCCATGCTGTGGCGGCGTCCCATATAAAGTAGAGGAAGATGGGCACGGATGTTAGCCTAGGGCCAGTCTTCCTCAGCAAAAAAGAGGAGGATTGGCATTGGATGTTAGCTCAGGGCTGGTCCTCCTCACAAAAAAAAAAAAAAAAAGTTGAATTCAGACTAAGCCCAAAGATCCCTGTGATCCTCGTGGCCACAGCCTACCTAGAGACTGTTGGTTGGTGTTGCATCTCTGTCGGCATTCCCAGAGTCACTCTGAGTGGTTCCTGTGTGGGGAGAGAAGTTGGAGGGGTGGAGGAGAGGCGGCTGTTCGTCAGGGGAAGATTCCTGCAGGTCATGAGAGACCGCACCTATAGGTGACAGGAGGCAGCGGTCTTCAGGAAGTTTAGTAAGGTTTGCCTGTGAACTCACTGCGTGGCCTTGTGCAACCCCTTCTTCCCTCTGGGGCTGTGTTTTCTCACCTGAAAGTGAGGGGCTGCACCCCATGATCCCTTGGGGGGGTCTTCCAGCCTTGATATTTGGTGATCCTGTGATAAGATGGTGACTCAGGACAAGACTTCGAGACACCTGCTCATTTGCATGTGCTAATCACTGATTAGAACCCAGATCAATGGGGACCTGGTTGCCCTGGGTCCTCCGAATAGACATCTATCTACGGGCCAACAGACTGGCTCTCCTTTCAGAAGGCAAGGGTGACTCTTGTGTGTGCGTGTGCATGGCGTCTTTCTCGTGTTGCTTCCTTCCCACCAGTTCTCCCACCTCCCCTGAAGACCTAGTCATTCCTTCTCAGAACCTTTGGGGAGAGCAGGCCCCAACGCCGGCCCCACCCCCAGCATTTCCAAATCAGAAGGAACTGGAATCCAGCCTCCTTAAAGACTCAGTTGGGAATCCGAGCCCCTGAAGAAGGAACTGTGTGCAGAAGGGAAGGAGACTCCCGTTTGCTGAGAGGGCCGGGCCCTGGGCTGGGTTCAGCTGTCCCTTGCCCATCTCGCTGACTCACGTTTTGGTTCCAGGAAAGGGCCAGCTCTCGTCCAGTTCGAGGCGCTGCACAGCCTGGAATGCTCTCCCCACAACGTCTTGCCTTGCTGACCCTGTTGTCACTCAGCCCCCCCTGATTCAGATTGGGTGCACTCCATCCAGCCTGCATGGCCCTTCCTGGGGCTGTAGTCAATACTACTTGCTTACTGACACCCGCTCGCTCTGTTAGACTCCAGGTTTCAAGCAGTCAGGGCCATGTCCGCCCCCTGCCGTGAGCTTAGTCACGGGCACGTTGTAGATGCTCAGTAAATAACAAACAGGTGAGCGTGTGTGTCTCATTGGCACCATGAAGTTTGGTGTTAAGAGCTCGGGCTCCAGGGCCGGCCCCGTGGCTTAGCGGTTAAGTGTGCGCGCTCTGCTGCTGGCGGCCCGGGTTCGGATCCCGGGCACGCACCGAGGCCGCTTCTCCGGCCATGCTGAGGCCACGTCCCACGTACAGCAACTAGAAGGATGTGCAGCTGTGACATACAACTATCTACTGGGGCTTTGGGGGCCGGAGGGGATTAAAGAAAAAAAAAGCCCTGGCTCCAGTCAGCAGATGTGGCTCTGATGTAGCAGTGATCTTGGGGGTGCTAGTCACCCATCTGGCCTCAGTTTCCTCTTCTGTAGGAAAGGGGATCGTAACTGTACCGTCACTGTAGGGTCACTGTGAGGATTGTAGATGGTCCATTTGACCAAGCCTTGAGCACAGTGTCTGGTCATCAGTAGCACTGAGCGGTGCTAACTCATTACTGATCAGAGCCTCACAGTCGCTGTGTGAGTTGTAGGTCCATAAAATCCTCATTCCTCAGATGAGGAAAGAAGCTCAGAGGGGGTGATTGACTTGCCCAAGCCTCCACAGCGAGTGGTTGGACTGGACTTAGAGTGAATCCAAGAGCTGTGATCCCAGCGGGCCTCTGTTTTTTGGAGCGCATGCTTTCTCCCAGGCATTTTACAAAGCACTTGCGTGTTCTACCATCTCACAGTATCCTCTGTGAGGCTGACGCTACCATCCCTGTTTTACAGATGAGAAAACTGAGGGCTGGAGGTGAAGCAGCTCAGGGAGGCCCAGTGAGTCGGTGGCGGAAGAGGGTAGAAACGAGGCTCCCTGCTTAATCCACGGTTCTGCCCCTGAGCCATGGCACTCTCAGGCCAAAAACCACCGCTGGCTTCAAATAGACAGAAAGGAAACAAGCCGAGGAAGGGGCGGGGGAGTGGGGATGATCCTCGATCCTTGTTCGATGCTCATGTGTTTCGCCCGAGGAAGTGCTCGGGAAAGATCCAGAGATGGTGCAGACCTGGCCCTCCCGGGTGTCTGGGGCACCTGGAATCCAAGTTCCTATTGGTTGTGCTTGTGACCTACTCGCAGGGACTCTCAGGGCTTTGGGAGACAGCCACACCTCGGCTCCTCTTCTTTTTTTTGCTTTGTGAGGAAGATCAGCCCTGAGCTAACATCCATGCCAATCCTCCTCTTTTTGCTGAGGAAGATCGGCCCTGAGCTAACATCTGTTGCCAATCCTCCTCCTTTTTTTTCCCCAAAGCCCCAGTAGATAGTTGTATGTCATAGTTGCACATCCTTCTAGTTGCTGTATGTGGAACGCAGCCTCAGCACTGCCGGATAAGCGGTGCGTCGGTGCGTGCCCAGGATCCGAACCCGGGCCGCCAGTAGCGGAGCGCATGCACTTAACCGCTAAGCCACGGGGCCGGCTCCTGCTCCTCTTCTTAAAGGCAGGCCTGGCTGAGAGGCGGTGCTTATGTAGAGCTCTGTTAACTAACAACTATCACCTGCTGCTTACAGACACCTTGGCGAGCGCTTTGCCAGTGTTCGATACACCTGCCACTAGCCCTCAGGGAGGGTGGAACTACCATTCTACAGAGGAGGAGAGTGGGTCTCAGAGAGGTTAGGTAACAGGCCCAGATCACTCAGCTGGTAAGAGGCAAAGCAGGACCATGTGTACCCAAAGCCTTGACTCTTGCCGCTGTGCCAGGTGGGAGGGTTTCGGAGGGACGGGAAGGTCCAGCACACTCTTGAGCCAGACAGGTTCTGAGCTGTTTTCTTTTTGAGTTTGAGGGCCCAAGCCCTTTTGCCTTCTGGTCTCCACCAAGCCCAGCCTGTGGACCCTGCCCTCTGCTGCCCTCGGGGACCCCTGGCCCCCATCCTCACCACTGTCAAGATGACTTCCTGTGTCTTCTCCAGGTGGACCTCGGAGGATCTGGAGTTAATCAACAAGTGGGCCTTCCAGGGGGAGCAGGTCATTCACGGAAACCCCTCCGGAGTGGACAACGCTGTTAGCACCTGGGGTAGGTGCTGCCTCGGGCTCGTTTTCCTCATTTTTAGTATTTTTAAAACTCTTATGACAAGCACAGATGCCCAAGCTCTGTTGATTTGGGATGAAAAGAATCGGTGGATTCTGAGGAAAATAACATTTTCCTGTGTGGAGGGGAATGGAAGAAATCTCAGGGCTCTGCCCAACACCTCCTGAATCCAGATTTCTGTTGTGGGGTGGGGGCTGGGGCCTGGGAAACCACGGTTTCAGTGAGCTCCCCGCAAGGGGTGAGGGGGTCCATACGTTAAAGCTGCAGAACCGTTGCTGTGGAGTGTGGCTCCCCTCTGCTGAGGACGCTCGCTTATTGGACTTAGAGACCGAACCCTGGGCCCCACCTTCACCACGTGGCCTGTCGGAGTGCAGCTGGGCAGCCTGGGGGGAAGGGAGTGACCCCTGAACCCGAAGCCTGGCGAGAGCTCGCCAGCAGAGTGTGGAGCACCTTCGTGCCCTCCGGGGCCTTTTGTAACTGAAGCTGAGGCGGCTAGTTCTGGTGTTGAGTCTCTTCCCTGGATGGGGCAGAACTGGAACCCCACCCCAAATCCAGCCTCTCGTGAGAGGCAAAAGACCATAGGTATTCGGCAGCTCTGACCCACTCATTCTTCTCCTTAGGAGGGGCGCTCCGCTACCAACAAGGGAAGATTTCCTCCTTAAAGAGGTAATTCTGGGGAGGAGCAGCACCTTTTGGCACGGCTGCGTCGATGCATCCGGTGGGGGGGCTCTGTTTCTTTGTGACAAAACATGGGGTGGGTGTCGCTGGGCTTTCCCCACCCCTGATGTGGCCCTCACAGACCGTCGGCCACGAGGAAGCCCTGCTCTTTGCTTCTCCACTTCAGCTCTTAAATGGCCAAGAGATGAGGGGGGGAAGTCATGCATGGCTGTGCCATTCGCCTTCCAGAAAGCGGCTCTTCCCCCAGACCCTTGGCTGCTCAGTCCGTTATGCATTCGTTCATCTATTCGTTTAGCAAACAGGAACTGATATCATCCTGTGTTCCTGGTGACACTGTGCCAGGAACTCGGGGTATAAAGATGAATCTCGGACACAGTTTTGGGTGTGTGGGGACAGACCTGCCCCCAAAAGCCACTACCAGACTATGTGAGGGTTGACATGATGACGGCACGCAAGGCAGGGCCAGGACCGGAGCCCGTGGGCGGCTTGTGGGAGGCTCAGAGCAGAGGTGACATTGGCCATTTCCGGCCTGTTTTGTTTCTTGACCTCCTCCTTCTGGAGTAACTGGAATTGCAAACATCCTCTGTTCCCTTTCTCCCAGGGTGGAATGGTAGGTGCAGGGAGTGAAGTCCTCAGCGAGCAGGAGCAGGTTCCTCTTGGCTGGTCTCTGAGCCCTCGATCGAGGCGGGTGGTGGCGGTGTCGTGGGGCGCTCTGCCGCCTCGGTGGGCCTGTCGACAGCTGGGAGGGTCCCACGGCTCTCTCACCTTCTTTACCCAGCCCAGTCTTCTTTGCAGAGGGGCAGCAGGTCCTGGGCCACTCCGTCAGTGGCTCGGTGACCTGGTATGCCATGTCAGCCCTCCTGCTTCCGCCTGGACCCCTGGGGGCTTCCTGTCCCTGCTCTGTCGGCTTCCAGGAGCCAAGCCTGCCCTTCTGATCTCTCCCTCAGGTCTCTTAGCCTCAGCACTGTTGACGTTTTGGACGGGATAATTCTTTGTGGTGGGCTGTCCTATGCAGTGTGGGGTGTGCAGAAGCATGCCTGGGCTCTGCCCACTGGGTGCCAGTAGCACCTCCCCCATCTCCCAGTTGTGACAACCAAAAATATCTCTAGACGTTGCCACATGTCCCCTGGAGGGCAGAATCCCCCTGGGGTGCCACCCACTGCCCTAGCCAGAGGAGGAAGCAGAGCCGTCTAGAAGCGTGGGGCAGCTGCCTCTGGCTGCTCGTGGAATCGGCGGCCGTGGAGCCTGGGCCCAGGTCGGGGCAGGCTCTGCCGGGTAGACTGAATCCATGTGCAGTGAGAGCTGGGGCGAGTGCTGACAGGCGAATTCAGGAGGGGATGCTGAGATGTCTGGACCTGGGCCCGCCCTCGGGGCTCACGGTCTCCTGGAGGAGGCGGTCACGACTGGAATCCTCAGAAGGAAGGCCTCCAAAGGTTCTGAAGCTGCTGTGGAGGAGGGCGCGGGGCGTCCTAAGTCGGGCTGCAGATTGGGGCAGGCCTTCGGGGGGCCCTGGCATGTCATTCGTTTCGTGTTTCCTGAGAGCCAGTTGTATCCTAAGCACTGAACTGGGCCCCAGGGATAGGAAACCAATGAAGACGTGGCCTGGGCACGTGCATAGTCTACTGGGGGATCAAGATGAGCGATGGAGGGTCTCCAAGGCGTACACCGTGGCCAGCGGTGGTGTGTGCTGGGCAGAGGCTCTGGGGTCTGCAGGCCTGGGTTTGAGCCTGGTGCTGCCACTTGCCGGCTGAGGGCCCTTGGGTGAGTCACTTCTGGAGCCTCTGTCTTCTCATTTATATAACGGGGATCTGGAGCATGAAATCAGAAACGGTGTCTATAACGCACTCAGCTCTTTGCTGACCAAATTTATTCGTCTGTTCCACGAAGGTTTTTGAACAACTACTGGGTGCTGGGGCCTCAGCAGGGAAGAACATCCTGCCTTCCTGGAACTCACCTTTTGTGAGATGGCTCTGCAAGAGCGTGTCCGGCAGTCCCAGGTGGCTTTAGGACATATAAAGCAGGGCAAGAGGGTGGAAGGTGAAGGAGGGATCTAGTTGGAGGGATGATCAGGGGAGGCCTCTGATGAAATGACATTGGAGCAGGGGCCTGAATGAAATAAAAGAGTGAGTCATGGAGCTATCGAGGATGGGGCGGATCCCTAGCAGAGGAAATGCAGTGCAAAGGCCTTGAGGCAGGAGTGTGCCTGGCGTGTTGAGCAGTAGCCTGAAGGCCAGGGTGGCTGAGTGGAGTGAGCACCCCTGGGAGGGTGGAGTTGGGATGAGATGAGGTTGGGGAGTTAGCCAGGCCGAGGCTGCACAGCGTTTCCAGGGCATACATAGCCCTGTGGGGTGGTCGCTGGATGTCGTAGGAGCCCTGGGTTTAGTGGGGCTGGCAGGGCTGGCAGCAGGCCCATTTGCAGAGGGCTTGTCTAAGAAAGATGAAGATGCAAGACTCAAACTCCTCCTGCCCCAGTGGATGGGAACACAGCAAACAGACCTTGGCTGCCGGCTACAGGGCGCCGCGGTGAGCAGCTGGCGGATTCTCTGAGAAGCTGAGAGGCCAGACTCCACGTTAATCCCGCGAATGGCTTAAAGAGGAGCCCTTTCCCCCAACACTGCACATGGTGCTTCTCCGTAAAAAATGCATTGTTTGCGAACTGGATCAAGATGCGGCCTCCCAGAATGCTGCCCTTTTGAGGAACGGCTTGTCTTTAAAGGGAAGGGAAAAGCCAAATAGAATGTTCATCCTTTGTAAAGTTAAAAAAGAAAAAACAAGCCGGGCTCCGAGGCTGGGAATCGATATTAATTTCATGGGCTCGTGGGCGGTGAGGTCAAGCAGGTTGCCGGCAGCCTTTTCCAGCTCTGTCGGGGTTTCGGTCTTGAACTGTGAAAAGAGGTGAGTGGAGATATGAGGGGTCTGCCCGTCTCCTGCTGGCTCGGGCCAGATCCTGCACCCTCGGCCCGGCCTGCGGTGCTCTCAGAGGCAGGCAGGGGGACAAGAAGGGGTGGCCTGAGTCCCCAGAGACAGCTAACCTAAGGACAGCTGGGCTCGTGGCTTCAGGAGGGATTATAAGGCTCAGTGGGGTCGTGCTGGAGAGCCGGCTGACTGCGCCCGGGGCCTCTGTTCTCTTCCCTGGGACAGCCGAGGGGCTGACTGACTCCTCTAACCGCACCTGGTTTTGTGCCCGGGCGGCTGGTCTGGGCACCACTGAGGCCGGGCAAGAACGGGTTCAGTGTGCTGGGAACCCCGTCCCTCTGAACCCTCCCCTCGCACTCCTGTGTCGACGGCACCAGCCAATCGGGGCATCTCCCCTCCCCACCTGCCCTTCGCGCCTTCCGTCCCAGGGCCCATTCCTTTTGCTTTCTAAATCTCCAGACCCTTCGCCTCCAGCTCCCTGGGGTGGCCCACGTGACAGAACCCCGGCCCCTTCTTGTACTCTTTGCTGTAGCTGCTTTGACTCCACGAACGTGCTGTGCTCTCCCACTTCCAGGCTGGGCTCGGCTCCCTCTCCCGAGCCTCACACATAGTGCCCAGTCCAAGTCGAATGAATGAATGAGTGAGTGACGGGCCGAGGGAAATGTCGGTCCACCCAGGGGCTGGCACGGAGATGCAGCTGTGGTCGGTGGCAGGAGCCCTGTGCTCCCTCATCTTGTCCCTCCAGCCCGCTGTCAATGTCACCTCCTTGGGCCTCCCTGCCTCCTCTGTGTCAGGGTGGGGTGGAGGCCAGGATCGCCCCTGGCCCTGCCCCAGCTCCTCCGTCCTGAGCTCACCATGGACCCTCTTGACCCCGCAGGCCACCGGCTCTGAAGATCCTGCTGACCAACACCAAAGTCCCCCGCAGTACCAAGGCTCTCGTGGCCGGCGTCAGGAAGAGGCTGCTCAAGGTGCTGCTCGTCCCGCTCTGGGGGGGTTCTGCAGGGCCACATGTCACGTTTGGGTGTTGGGGCTTTCCCTCTGCCTCGTGGGTTAGTTGGGGGGTGGGACGGGGTGATGAGGACTCAGGGAGGTGGTTTTGGCAGAAAGGGAGGTGCTGTCTGTTCACACCCCACCAGGAGGTGGATGGGGATCCTTAGACACGCTGGCTGTGCAGTGAGAATCCCACGTATGTAAGGGGGGCCGGGCAAGGCAGAGACAGGCCGGAAGGAGAAGAGGGTCCCCTGGAGGGTGGGTGTGGGCCACGGGGACACCTCCTCCCTCTGCCCTGCTGCCAGGGCAGCTGTCCAGTGTCTGCGACCCCTAGGCCTCACAGACCCTCGCTTCCTTCCCTGCAGTTCCCGGAGATCGTGGGCCCCCTCCTGGCCTCGATAGAAGCCGTTGCCCTGGAGTGCGAGCGAGTGCTGGGAGAGATGGCGGTGGCCCTGGCCCCGGAGCACTACCTTGTGCTGGAGGTAAGAGTGCGTTGGCAGGATCCGGGGTCACTTGCCCACGCCACTGTCCACGGCAGGGCTCCCCGGTCTACACTCAACCCCGGGGAGCTAAGACACAGAGGCCGGGCCGGGCCGGGGTCCCGTGTGTGCACACACCAGCAGGCAGGCCTGGTTTCCTGCCCCTTCTCGGTGATTCGCAGGCATGGAGAGAATACAGGGAAGTGCTGAGGGCGGGGCCTGGCGTGCTCAGTGCGAGGGGCCAGGTGTGGGGTCACACGTGTCAGGAGTGCCAGGATGTTGCTGACCCGGTCTTCATGGGTCCAGAGCGATTTCTTACCCGCCGCCTCTTTCTCGCTTGTTTTGCGTTTGTTCACTCAGTAACTGTCGCGGGCATGCTTTGGATCACATGTATTCTAACATTGTCTTTTCATCCTTGTTACCCCGGCCACCACCCTTTGCATGATTCTAGTGTAGAGGCTGAGACCTCACGCTTGGATGTGATCGGGCCGGGCTCTCAATCCTGGCCCTGCCCCTGCTGGCTGTGCGGCCTCACTGGAGTGCCTTAAGAATGCCGTAACCCACAAGCACAATGCCTGATGAGCCACCAGTTCAGTAAGCCTGGGGGCCCAGGCTCATGCTCAGACAGGTCCGTCTGGCCTGGTGATTGTGGGCTGACATTAAAAAGCTATCTGGCTTCCTTTGAAGAATCTGAGGGCCAACCAGCCCCAGCCTAGTGGCTGTCAGCTGGAGGTGCCCCCTAAGAGAAGCCCTCTGGTCTCCGTTTCTCCACAGTCCCCACCACTCCCTAATTATTACCCACAGCCGCTACAATCTTTGCCTGGTGCCTCCCTGTCCCACTGTAGGCATTTGAGTCTGCAGCCCCTGGAATGAATGGAAGCTGCTACTCTGCCAAGTCTTTCACAGATAATTTCTCACTTGATCCATACAACAGCCTACCTGTGAAGTAGGTATGTTGCCCCCATTTTATAGGTATAAAAACTGAGGCCTAAAGAGAACGACTTTCTCCAAGGCTTTCCAACTAGTGAGTGGCGGAGCTGGGGTCAAATTGTTGATTCCTTTAGTCAAGAAATCTTTAATGAGCACCTACTATGGGCCAGGCACAGGGACTTCATCTAATTCCCGCACTTATGTCCCCATTCCTCCAGCCTTTGCCTCGCTGGCTCTCAATTCTTTTCACGTAGAAAGGCGGGAACACAGTCCTCCTGCGTAGGAAATTAATAATGATAGAGTACTGCCTAAAATATACCCTATTGAGCCCCCAGAGAATGGCACGGCACGTTGATTATACATTGTGTATATTTTTGGCTGTGGCAGCCGCTGAAATGTGCAGCTCGGCTCCCGGACAGCTTTGTGCTCAAACCGGCGAGCTGTTCTCCTGTGTCACCGCCTGTCATCTGATCGTTGACAGATTTTGGATCAGAACGTGACAGGTGTCTGGAACCTGCCTCGGCAGCGTGACACCTGGCACTCAGGTGCAGACAGAGGCCCCCCAAGTTTCCCCTCACGTCCAGCCCTTGGGGCGGGTGATAGGCACCCGGGGCTGCCACCCGGCCATCATGCCTGTCTGCTCGTTTGTCAGAAGTGCGGGGGTGTGAGGGGGGCTCGGGAAGGGCTGACCCGACCCTGCCTGACAGCCCTGGGCGGAAGAGCCAGGTGGGCATCAGCAGACAGCCCGGTGATTGGCAGCCCTCACCGCGCACAGGTGCCCCCGGTTCCCTGGAGCAGAGCCGCGTGCCGTCGGGCCGCACACTGCGAGAAGCGGGTGGTGGCAGGAATGCTGAGGGCGCTCTTGGAGGCAAGGCAGATGTAAGCTTCACGTCAGGCAGACCCGGCTTGCAGTGCCAGCTTGGTGACCTTAGGCAAGTCGCTTTCCTCTCTGAGCCTCGGTTTCCCCCTTTGTAAAGTGGGGACAAGGGTGATGTAACCATAAACGTGCTAATGCAGCTGGTGTTTGCAGAGCATTAGTCTCATGCCAGGCATTGTGTGAAAGGCTCGCTTCGTCCTCACGGCAACGAGGCAGATACTCTGACCATCCCTGTTTGACAAGGGGGGAAACTGAGGCCCCGAGTGAAAGACCTCACCCCAGGACACACAGCCACGTAGCGGCAGAGCTGGGACTCAGCCCTAGGCCTGCCTGACTCCAGATCCCGTGTTCTCAACTTCCCCACGACAGGGACCAGAGCCGGTGATCCTCTGCAAGTTCCAGCCTCCAGCTGAGTGCCCGGCATGTTGTGGGTTTTCAGCAAACTCGGATGGAGTCACGAAATGTGAACAGTGGGTGCCGGGCGAGGGTAGCTGTTAGTTTTGTTATTTCGTCAGCCTGCAGCTTGCTTGGTCCTCAGGAGAGCAGAAATTTTGTTACGCACAATCAAAGAAACCTAGACAAACGTTTAGCTATCTCCTCCACTTGTAACCTTGCTAGAACTGCACACCGGTTCTTATTCTGAAAGTCGGTACCTGAGGTGGCTGTAGCCTGGCATATTCCTTGAGACTTCTCCTGCGAATGACAGAAATCCATCTCAACCAGGCTTTAGCAGAAAAGGAATTTATTGGCTCATGACTGAAAAGACCAGAGGTAAACAGCTTCAGGCACAGCAAGATCCAGGGGCTAAAACAATGTGATCAGAAATCTCTCTCCCTCTTCCATGTAATCTCTGGTCAGGAGTGGGCGGGGCAGGTAACTCTGGTGGCCTCCCTCTGAAGTCAACCAGTTGTAGCAGCTCCAGTGGAAAGAGGCCGAGAAAACCCTGGGAGGGCCCTGGTTGGCCCAGCTTGGGTCACATGCCCATCCCTGACCAGTCACCACAGCCAGAGGCTTCTGTGGCCAGGCCTGGGACCTGTGCTCAGCACCAGCTCCATCCCAGCCCCATGGGACATTCTGCAGGAAGGAGAGGTTCTTTTACAAGCGGAGAGGGACAGTGCTGGGTAGTCACAGCCATTTGCCGTCCTAAACCAGCGGCTGTCAGATGGGTGGGCTGGCCCAGGACCTCGGCCTCAGGCAGGCCAAGCAGGAACAGACTGAACCTTGTCTTCTAGGAGCTCATCGACATGAACCAGCACCATCTGAACGCCCTTGGGGTGGGCCACGCCTCGCTGGACCAGCTCTGTCAGGTGACCATGGCCCACGGACTGCACAGCAAGCTCACTGGCGGGGGCGGCGGGGGCTGTGCCATCACGCTCCTCAGGCCAGGTACCGGGGGTGGGCGGGGCTGCCAGCCTGGGTTCATAAAAAGCTTCTAACTGGGCAGTTCCCTTGGGAGGAGGACGAGGCCTGTGAACAAGTCTCATGTCTGCTGTGTGGCCTTGGCCCAGTTAATTAACCTCTCTGGGCCTCTGCTGCCACTCTTTGCCCGCTCCTTTCCATCTCTTGCTCACCATCTCCCTTCTCTGTCTTCTCCTTCCTCTCGCATCCTGCCTTCTCCCTTGGCTCTGCATCAGGCCCACCAGTGGCCCCAGGCCGCCCCTCCCCCTCAGTTAGCCCCATTGCCACATGAGGAGACTGAGGCCCAGAGAGCAGAAGTCACTTGTCTGAGGCCCCACGGCAGATCTGTGACAAGGCCAGGTCCGTGTGACCCGAGAGCCCGTTTTTGACTTGCTGCATAACCCGCCCAGGGAGGGCGCCCGGCTCAGCCTCCCAACAGGAAGACCTGGTCCCTGGGCCTGGTCCCTTGAATGGGGAGGAACATTCTCCAAGGAAGCAGACGGTTATCGGGGTGACCTGCTGCTCTCCCTCCCGCAGATCTTGAGCGGCCAGAGGTGGAGGCCACGAAGCAGGCGCTGACCGGCTGTGGGTTTGACTGCTGGGAAACCAGCATCGGTGCCCCCGGCGTCTCCGTCCACTCAGCCGCCTCCCTGGATGCCGCCGTCCGGCAGGCCCTGGACGGCCTCTGAGATGAGCCCCACCAGAAGCCCCATCCTGGATTACTCTGGGTGCTGGAATTCGCCTCTGTGCTGGCCAGTGGGCGCCCGGCTCTCTGTGAGTCCCTTGCAGTCCCCGCAGTGGGACCAGGGCCTGCAGGGGGCCGGCCTGCCTGGACGATCTGTGTTCTGCGTTCTCTCCAGCCGGCCAGGCATCTTCTGAGATGGCACACCTGAGACGTGAGGGCTCTTTCCCGCCCTCCCTGAAGCTCCCACAGACCCGGCGGCTTTGGGCCTCTGCCTTCTCCTTCCACCTCTCTGTCCCCTTGGCTGGATGCTCGGATGCAGGGGCCTGATTCCAGAGTGGCCGTCCCCCTCCCTCTGCCTCTGCACTTCCACCTGTCCCTCAGGGCCCAGGCCCCTCCCACCTCCCCCAGGAAGCCTTCCCTGATCCCACCTCCCTCCCGTCGCACCTTCAGTCTGTTTGAACCTACCCATCCAGCACTTTGCCGGGCCTGCTCTTCTCTCCACCTAGACTGTGGGCCTCCCTAGGGGCGTCCAGATGGTGGTCTTTGCCTTCTGCCCTCCTGCCCAAGGGTCGGCCGAGGGCAGGTCCATCTGCAGTTTCTCCCAGTCTGTACCCGAGGGGGTTACAGAAAAGTGGCGAAGGGGGAATAAAAAGATCTTGAGTCAACAGTGCTTCACTCCGCGTGCAGAGGGAGGGTGAGGGTCTGGAGTCTGCAGCCCGCCCACGCCTGCGTCCTCTGTCCTCGTCCCTCCTCCAGCCACTCTCGGAGGAGCCCTTCAGCAGGCGAAGGGAAGCAGAGCTCTGGGTACTCGGTTGTGTGTCTCGAGTGGGGTGGGGTTTCCCAGGTGGCCCTGGCTGGACAGGGACGGGTGCCAGGACTCAGGCTCAGTCCACCAGCGCGGCTCCAGCCTGCTTTTCCAAAAAGGGAAATTTTAAGTTTCCTGGTTCCTGGAATCACGAGCGCCCACTAATTCCCAGACCTTTGTAAGCGTAGAACAAAATCTACCGTAGGTCCTGGAGTATTTCTTTCTGAAATTAACTGGCTGGGTGGGAAAACAGACTCAGGTGGTCACAGCCCACTGCCTGGCGCCTCGCTGGCCCTACTTGAACTTTATATTACAAGTCAAGGCTTCTTAGCTATCACACTGCCACCCGAAGCTCTGGGAGCCCCAGGGCTGTGAGGCGAGGCAAGAGAGTGGGGGCTGGGGCAGGATTTCAGGACTTGGTTAAAATGGCTCTGCGCTTCTGCCCTCGGCCACGAGGGGGCAGCTGGCGCCTGTCCCAGCGTCCTCACAGGGCCAGGGGGTGGGAGCTGGCCTGGAGAGCAGCATCAGCTCTGCCCCCGGTTGCCAGGCCTCTCTGGGCTCTGCCGGGGGTCACTGCCGGGAATGTGAGGACAATAGGAAGGAGGCCTGCTCCGGCTTAACTTGTAAAAATGGCCCCAGCAGCACCGATGGGGAGTTGCCTGACCCTGCCCTTCAAAACACAAATAGTACAGGAAACAGTAGTGTTAATACTGAGCACTTACCATGTGCCGGGCGCTGTTCTAAGCACTGCACATACATCACCTCTTAATCTACCCCAGCCTTGGAGAGGAATCGCTAGTCTCAGCCCCTTTTTACAGATAGGAAACTGAAGCTCAGAGAGGTTGAGTAACTGATCCAATATCACACAGCTAATCATCAGAGGCAGGATTCCAACTCAGACTGTCTAACTCCCGCGCCTGCCTCAGCCCCCAGGTGCTTCTGCCTGGACACAGGTGTGTGGTGATTCTTGCTGCTGTCCACACTTGGGCTCGTCATCTCCTCTGGATTCTGATATACTTGGTCACAGTGGGGCCTGGGTGTTTTTCTCAAGTTCTCCATATGATTTGGATGAGCAGCCAGCGCTGAGAGGTGCTTTCTCCGGGAAGCTGCTGGTTGCCATGTTTCTAGGCTACAGGAGGCTCCCATAGACGCTCATGGAATCCAGGGAGGCGCACCTCCAGAGACCGTCCCTCTTCCTCACTCCCTGGGGACCAGGTGTCACTCCTGGAGCAGCGGCCAACCCGTTACTTTTGCCCCAGTGAAGCAGCCACCTGCATCATTGGCCAGCACAGCCTGTCACCCTGGCCACCACCCCGGCCACCATATGGGCCTGGTGGCACCTCTCCTGGCCACCTGTCTGATATGACATTTGCAGACCATCTGCATTTGCAGCGTCACCCCGTCTCATCACCCACTGCACTGGGTCTCGCCCCCAGCTGCACATCAGAACCACCCGTGAATGCCCAGCCCCACCCCTGATGCTCTGATTAACTGAACTTGGGTGGGCTCCTCCACTGGTAGTGTTCGGAAGCTCCCAGGTGATTCTAATGCTCAGCCAGGGCTGAGGACCCCTAAGGTAATTTCTGTACGCCATCATGGCACTTGACGGCCCTCTTCTGCCTGGGCTCCCGTCAGCTCTGCCACCCACTAGCCATGTGGCCTTGGGCAAGCCACGCCCCCTCTGGAGGCCGTGGTCTCCTGGTCTAGAAGATGAAAATAATACGAATAGTAATACCCACCTGGTAGAGGTTTCATGAAGATTGAGAAAATGCATGGGACACATGAAGCTCTTAGCACAGGCCTGGCACAGAGTAAGCACTTAATGAATACTCATTATTATGACTGCCCTGTGCTGAAAGGTAGGGTCTGTCTCAGAGCCCAGAAGGTACAGAATGGTGCACAGAGCTGGTGAAAAGTGCCCAGCCCCGCTGGTCCAAACCCCTAGGCTGAGACCCTGGGCTGTGTTTCAGAAACAGCTAATGCCACTGGCTTCCCAGCCTCCCGGATCCCTCCCTGAGGAGGCGGTCACATAGCCCGGCGCCCTCTTTCAGCCGGAGGACAGCAATGTCTCAAGTCAGCACTTGGAGCCACTCCCAGCCTCTGCTGCGGATTTAACACGCCCCTCACAGCCCGAAGTTCGCAGAACGTTTCCCCAGTCTGCCAGAGGTCTTGTGTTGGGAGACAGGCAGCAAATATTGTGACTCACACCAGACAGACAGAGTGGCTGCCGCGTGGCACCGTGTTCTTTCTGTCGGTGAGGATGTTTTCTTCCCAAGAACAGCTCCCGTGGACCCCTGGCGGCCTGTTGAGTCAGGTGGCTGGCTGGTCCGCAGACAGGGTCCAGGCCCAGCCTGCCATCCCCGTGTGCTTGGGCCAGGCCCTGTGCCCCTCAGGGTCTCCGTTTTCATTCTTATTCCCCAGCAAGAGCTTTCTGTAAGGCACAGAGCTTGGCATCCAGCCCCAAGGGGGCACTCCCTTCCCCAACCCTTCCTGGCTTCCGGCTAATTTGGGACCATCCCCTTGGCTGTCCGAGCACCTACTGTGTGCCAGACCCAGTCGTTGTCTTAGGTGAGAAAACCAAGGCCCAGAGAGGTTAAGCAACATGCCTAGGATCACCCATAGAGCTGGATTTAAATCGAGTCATCTGGTTCCAGAGCCTGGCCTCTTTAGTTTTAAAAGTATTGTTTTTACTATTACAAAAACAGTATATATATGCTGTAGAAGGAAAATACAGATACACAAAAATAAGAATAAGAAAGTACCGGGGCTGGCCCCGTGGCTTAGCGGTTAAGTGCGTGCTCTGCTACTGGTGGCCTGGGTTCGGATCCCGGGCGCGCACTGACGCACCACTTTTCCAGCCGTGCTGAGGCCGCGTCCCACATACAGCAACTAGAAGGATGTGCAGCTATGACATACAACCATCTACTGGGGCTTTGGGGAGAAAAAGGGAAAAAAAGGAGGAGGATTGGCAATAGATGTTAGCTCAGAGCCGGTCTTCCTCAGCAAAAAGAGGAGGATTGGCATGGATGTTAGCTCAGGGCTGATCTTCCTCACAGAAAAAAGAAAAAGAAAGTACCATGTTTTCCCACTCAGATTACTCTGTTAACAGCTCCCACCTCTCTCTGTGTGTGCATGTGTATGTGTGTGTGTACCGGCTTTTCAATAAAACAAGATTGTAGTGTAAGTGCTGTTTTGTTACTGCCTCTTTTTGTTAATGATCACCTTTCTGTGTCAATATGTTTTCATCCCTAATGCATAGGCCGTAGTCACATTTCCTCCCAATTGTCCCCCAAAATGTCCAGAATCCTGTCGAGGACCACGCATCTGGCTGTGAGAGCCCTAAGTCCTTACACACTCGCTTTTTGCCTCCATTATGAGACCCGGCCGGTCGTGCTGCAGTGTCCCGTCTTCTGCGTTGGTTGTTCAGATCAAACCCCTGCCCTCGGCTCTGGCGGTTCCTGAAGTGCCAGCGGCCAGTCTTCCTGAGTGCCTGCCACAGACCCTGCATGGCGCCTCGTTCTTTATGCGCCTCCTCCCCTGAATCCGCTCAGTTCAACGAGATATGTCTCGTCTTACCCCCATTCTGTTGATGAGTAAACTGAGGCCTAGGGGAGAGAAGTGACTTGCCCAGGTCACAAGGCAAGCAAGTGGCAGAGTGGGATGTGAACCAGGTCTGTGTGACTTCAGGGCCCCACTGGCAGCCACTCTTCTGTACTATCTCCAGGACGTGACCCGTGACCTCCCACAGCCCCCTCTCCAGTCCCTGCCTCATTGTCATGATGGAGTTGTCACATCCACCATGGCAGCTCCCGCTCGGCTCCCCGCTCCTGCCCCCTTGGCCCTCATTGCTCCCCAGACCTTGGACCCCCGTGGCTCTGCCAGCACAAGGAACGGGCAAACTGACGGCACTGCCGAAGAGCACGCTGTGTCCCCTCACAGGACTGTGCCCGGAGCCACCGTCTCCCCACGTCCAGGGAAAGCCTGGGCGCCGGATTCAACAAGCACCACCCCTGTGTCTTCTCAAAACTGAAACAGGGGCAGTAGTCTCCGGTGTCAACCAGATGGATGTTTCGGTTGCTTGTAATTAGAATCCAAAATGTCAGGGTCAGGAGGACCCTCGGAGGTCACATGGGCCGAAGTCTCATTTGCCATTGATGGGGAAACCGAGGCCCAGAGAGGGCAGGAGACCTGCCTGAGGTCACACAGCAAGCCGCCTTTGGGTTCTCTCCCCACAGTCAGGGCGTCCCAGGAAGAGCACTGTACTCAGAGTTAGAGACCCATCTCAGGGCCTAG